AGGAAGAAGAATGAATTTTTGGTGTGTCATGCATTGTCCTCCATATGCTTTATTATAGACATGAAACTCGAAGCATTGTATTGCTTCGTGAATTCATGGTTGGACGGTTAATTAACTGCCACCCCCAAGTGTTGTCATTATCACAATAAAGCTAATCACCATTGTCAAATGTTGCATGGATAAGTATCATTTCCAAACGTTTTATGGTTTACATGTAAAGCAAGGCAACCCTTTGATTTAATGGAACTTCCATCCAAATAAAACTACCAAGGGTAATTAACTGCCAGCAAAACAAACGTTGGCAGACCATGAAACTCATGGTATCATGCAACTCTAGGAAAATTATTCAAACCGGACCAAATTGATTAGTTTAAATCAAAACCGGTTAAATCAAATTTCCAACATTCCTCCCCCATTTTAGTGTATTCAAAGAATCCGCTAAAATTATAACATTCTTCCAACAAAACTTAAGCATAAATGAAAATGTCGTGACGATTGAATTTTCACCTTATTATATTACACTTGACGAATACTCGAATACAAAGGGTGTCGGTAACGATTGAACCCATTGACTCATATGAATTTTCGAAGATAATATACACTTAAGTTTTCAAAAACTTCTAAGCGCCTTGACACTATTATCCGCCATGTGTCCAATCCTTCTCATAAGCGCACACGAAACCAAAGTCTGGGTTTCTTGAAGCGGCTACACTTCATGCTTACGTAGGTCGAATCTTTTATTCGTGTACCCGCATAATACACTTTGTCAAAGATTCAATTAAGAAGTTTTGAACTTCATCCTCTTCTCTCATGCTGATAACAAGCACATACCTCGGGATGACAAATTTTGTGCTTCAATTTCTGATAATAAGCTTTCCACATTGAATTCAGTCTCTAACGTTGTATTAGAGGGGAATTGGGTGTCCCATTACCAGAAATTATATGGACTTTAATCCATCCCTTTCACAGACTTAATCACCAAGTCACTAGTTAACCACTTCGTCAAATGATCAACCAAATTAATTCAAGTTTGGTCATACTGTCTAGACACAACACTATGAATGATCAGTTCACAGCTTTTATCGTGCCATACTCCCACATGACCGTACTTATCATTTTCACTTGACTATATGTCTTAGCCAAATTAGCATTACTATCACAAAAGATAGTAATAGGTGAGATTGGTTTAGGCCATAAATATATGTCATAAACCAAACCTCTCAACAATTATGTCTCTTCTCTAAGAGAAATCAAGGCCACACAAACTTTGATTCCATAGTGAAACTTAGTAATGCAAGTTTGCTCTCTAGAGGCCCAAATTATGGCACCTCTCCCAAGCAAGAGGACTCATCTCAATGTTGAAGTATCACCTTTAACATGAGAAATCCAACTAACATCAACAAATCCTTTCCAAAATTGATGGAAAGCCACTATAAGTCAATACAGTGTGCCTTTGACATATCCTAGTACACGCCTCATTTCATTTCAAATGATGAGAACTAGGATTCATCACGTACCAACTTAATTGTTATATCGCATATGCGATATCTAGCATCATGTAAGTCATGCATACATCTCCAGTTGTAAAACTAATTTCCAGTATTAACCATAAGTTCCATACTTGGATCCATTGGTGTCTTTAACTCACTACACTTCCTACTATGGAATTTATGCAAGTACCTTCTCATGCAGAAAAATTGAGAGAAGGACTCTTCTTTGTCGTTCCGCTTGATTCAATACACAGAATCACATTTGCCTACCCCATGTCCTACATGGAGAATTGAAATAACAACTTTTTATCAAAGTTTACTTATCTTTTATTGGTTCCAAAGATAAGCATATCTTATACATACAAATGTACGATGACTTCATTACCAGAATCATCAGAAATTGTGTACACATTTTGTCTCTTTGGTTTAAAATCACATAAACCACTTGACAAAATCACTTATCTTTGATTGGTCCCAAAGATAAATATGTCATCTACATACAAACACAACGACTCTATTACCAGAATCATCAAACATTGTATATACAATTTTGTCTCCTTGGTTTAAAATAACATAAACCACTAGACAAAATCACACCACCAAACCACTAGACAAATCCAAGTTTATCTAGAACTTCGTAAATGTCGAATAGAGAATTAGACTAATTAACCATTGAGTATGTGACCTACCCAAAGACAATTTCCATTCTTCTATTTCTCCATTTTACGAATCATTCTCCTTCTTCCTCATCTTCGAATCATCCCTCTTCCAAGTTACCTTCCGGATATGGAATACACCATGAGACAAGTACGAAGAAAACCCATCTTCTACTGCCATCGATGAAAAACCCATCATCAAACATTCTCATAATTCCATAGACCGGAATCGGTTTCTTGTAAAAAGCGGTTCGAGCCATCGTACCGGAAAAATATTCTCTTCGATTGTTGGGACTTCTAGGGATGAGGGTATACATACGATAGCTCGAGACCGGATGACTAGGATTATGATAGAGTCGTGAATTGTTGGTACTACTCGCTGCAGATAGATACATTCGTCCAATTGTTGATGGGCTAGAGTTCACACATCTTCCAATCCATATTGACTTAGTAGCGAGGATGGAATCGTTTTGAATTGGATTAACTTTCGTTCAGATAGATACATTCGTCCAATTGTTGATTCATCTAACTCGATGCAGACGACAGGATTGACGGAGTAGAGCGAATTTTCCTGTTTTGGTGAGTTATTTGGGGGATCTGTTGGCTTCTCGCGAGATCTTGAGACTAAGGCTTCTTCTGTGTTTCTTAATTGTACGACAACAAAAACAATGCTAGAAGTAGATGTGGAAATATGAAGGAAATTATCGTCTTCTTTTTTCCCCTAAACAAAGTTCAAACAAATTCAAATCAAACAAAACTTATTAGAACAGGCTAGATTTATTTATAGTTCGAATTAATTTACCCTTTTAACTATAAATTCGTGACTTGAAAATCGAGAAAAAAGATCACACCAACCCAATTATCTCACTCACATGTGAAGTTTCTTTATCATAACATACTTGAGTCTATTCTGAAATTCAAACTTCAAAACATTTTTTTGCAAGCAACTACACATAATTATCTTAATATTTAATTAGTTATACCTTGAGATGCCTTTCATAACTTAATTTTGCTTAGTTGCTTAATACTTTGAGCTAGAAAAGCATTACAGTTGACATGATGATAATGAAATCTGAAGTTCTGAACTATATATATATATCCGCACATATTAAATTCAAATACTAAAGTCAACACCAACTCAATATAACAAACAACGAGGTAGTAAATAATTGAACTTATTACCCCTCTGAACTTTTAATCATGGGCTACTTAATTACGGTATTGATAGTCGGACCACAAAAATCGCCTATTGTCAGCCAACTTAGGAATGGCAATGGGGCAGGTCCGGGGCGGGTTTCTTGGTACTCAGACCCGCCCCGTGGCAGGTCGGGTCCAGGTCGGGTAATTGATCAAGGGTCGCGGGTCGGGACAGGTCGACCCAATGGGTATGCAATTTATATTAAAAACATTATAAATATTCGTTATTTTTATTATAAGACTAAGAAAATAAACAATATTATGACAATTGCAGTTAAATTATTGGAGAAATTGAGGTTTTTACTAATTTACAACTTTCTTATAGCTAAAATATGATGCAATAAAAGGAAAATACTAAGTAATTTGACTAAGATTACATGTAAATTAGACAAGAACGGGTCGAGAATGGGGCGGGTCAGGGCAGGTCGGGTCGATGAGACTACCCATGCCCGCCCCGCCCCGCCTACGGGGCGGGTCGGACCCGCCCCGAAACAGGTCAAACAGGTCGGGTAACACGGGTCAGGTCGAAATTGCCATCCCTAAGCCAACTCAGCATGGTACACATAGAAAAATCTGTAGCAACGAGTACAAACAATGCTACCAAACTACATACTCAAGGTACACAAACTAGCTTTAGTATTACTGTATTAGTATGGTAAAACTCGTATCCAAGGGCGGAGCTACGTTGAGGCTTGGGGGGCCTCCCGAGATTTTTGAAAATCACGTATAAGTACAACGAGAATTTTGAAACGTATTAATAAACCTGTTTATATAAATAAAGACATTACGCAATTTAATCCAAGAGTTGTTGCATGTAGTCTAGCAATTAAGTGGCTAGCTGTTATCTTGGTGGACATGGGTTCAATACCCATCAGTTACACATCTGACATTTTTTTGTCTTATTAATTTTTTGCTAAAAAAAATCAAGCATAGTAACTTAACATTAATACTTTGTCTTTCTTACACACTTAAAACTAGATAAATTGAATTTATCAACTTATGCATCATATCTTTAAATATAATTTTGAATATGTATCAAATTAATTATTTTTATCATTATTGAGAGACATTCATTTGTTATTTATAATAACATCGAAGAACATGATACAAATAAAACAATGATGATTATTTTTTGTTGACAATTTATTTAAAAATGTTGAACATGTCATTGCTAAATTTTAATTTAAATCATAATTTTAGTGCTAGTAATTATCTTAACTCTTAAGTAATAATTTGTAATGTGACATTTATATTATTATTTTTTTACGATAATACCACTAATTTTTTTCCGACCACCCGAACTTTAAAATCAGGCTCCGCCCCTACTCGTATCACCTCTGATAAACTAGTACAGTTATCAAAAAAAATGTTAATAATACCCAATCTTTTCCCCAGCTAAACAATAATTGTATCACTAAATATCATTCTCCTAATAACTTGCCCGGAATTTCACTTATAGCCCAAATTTTCTACTGAATTTGGAAAGTGTATTATTTGTATATTACAACTTGCCGGGGCCGTTTACAGACAGCCTTACAGGGGTAGCAGTTAGTGCTTCTCCATCAAGACAAGGTCAACTAATAACCAGAAAAGGAACGAAGGAATGAAGTACTCTTTAATTATATAAATCCCTCTAAGCTGGAGCCAACGAAGAACACACAAATCTTTCAAACAAAAAAACAAACCAGAAATGGAGCAGAAGAACCAGCCTCTGCAATTTGATGATGATGAAGACGAGGTGGTGTTGTTTGGGACGTGGTCGAGCAGCCGTTGCACGAGGGTGGAGATAGCCCTTAGACAGAAGGGCATACCCTACAGGTACGTGGAAGTGGACCTCCAGAACAAGGGCGAGCTGTTCCTCAGCTACAACCCCGTCCACAAGGCGGTTCCCGTGCTGGTTCACAACGGGAAGCCGATTGCAGAGTCGCTGCTCATCCTCGAGTACATCGACGAGTTCTGGTGCGACAGAGGACCTAAGCTTCTGCCTGAGGATCCTTACCAACGAGCTAAAGTCCGGTTCTGGTCCAACTTCCACGATGAAAAGGTAAACCCAGCCTGGTCCGGCTTGATCATGAGGATCGGTTTGAAATAGTTTGTAAACTGGTTAAGTTTAGCGTCCAGTTACTCTTTTGACCCTTTTAGATTCGGCTCATTTTTTGGCTTTTAACCAATAACAATAATTCGTGAAATTACCAATACATTGAACATGTTTTTAAAGTTTAAAAGTTTAGGTACTATATATAATACAAGATAAAAAATTATAAAGGTACTAAAACATAATTTTATGACCATCATAATTTATGGACCTTTTTCATAAAAAACTCATGTTTATGCACTACTTTGTAAGAAAAATAAGTCTGATATGGAAATGTAATTTTCAAAAAAACAATGTGTTTATGAATGTGATCCAACCCACTCGTTCGGTCTGACCCTATCCAGTCGTACTCTTATGAGCCAGACAAGGCCAGAGGAGAATAGGATCGAGTCGGATCAAATTGTATGTTTGACCTTATATAGGGTCGGATTTTTTTAGGGAAATGACGGGGCCAGAGTTGGGTTTGACCTGATCCCCAGAATTAGGGTTTTCGACGATCTAAGCCTGAGGACATCAATTTGTTAAAGCACATGGTATTCTAATATGTGCAAACTTTCCATTCCATATAAATTATCTTTGTTAATGAAGAAGCATGTTAGTAAATGATATAATTTTTTATAATTAAATCTCTCTCAACAATTTGAGTTATTGATACCAACGAGTATCTAGACTGAGTTAGGTTTTTTATTGTGCAGATGATTCCAGCCACATTCAAGATGGTACTAACCGGAGGCAAAGTGGAAGAAGTGGAGAAGGCAGTCAAAGAGTTCGACGAGTTGCTCACCGTGTTCGAACAAGGGATTCAGAGAGATCTCCCCGCCACGTTTGGTCCTCATCGCTCCGATGACGACGGCGGCGAAGCCATGGGGTTTCTTGAAATCGTGGTGGGTATAAACGTCTGCAACTACGCAGCCATTGAAGAGGCCATCGCCGGGATGATTTACGAAGCAAAGCACCCTGCGTTTGCAAAGTGGGTCAACGCCATCACTGAAAAGCCTCTGATGAAGGAGTTGCTCCCTCGCCACGACCAGCTCGTCGCCAAGATCAAAGGAATGCTTGCATCGATGCCCTAGTAAAGGGCTAGGCCCACGAGATCAATGGGCCTTCGTCGATCACAAAAGCCACGAGTGAAGGGAAAGCAAGGCCTTTTTTTCGGCCCAGAAACATTGTACAACCTAAAATTGTCATGAAAAGAAAGGGGTTTGCTTCAATGATATTTTGTTGATTTGAATTTGCTTAAACTCCATATAAAGTTCGTTCGCCTTTCTTATCATTCTAAGTTAACTATGTGTAGTCTATATTATTGTGGCCTAGACCACATCACAACTGTTTTAAATCAATTAAAAAAAATTAGGGTAGACCATACTTTACACAAATGCAAATTTCTCATATGGGTGTATGTATGTTGACTTTTGTGCACATTTCTTTCACAAGCTTGTGAATTCAGAGAATGGATGAAAATTCAATCATGGAGATTCTTAATAGAGATGTATTAGACATTTGAGTGTCAATCACAATCCACGTCGTAAACATGAGCATGACAATAACATGACAAAAAATATGATCAAAATAATATATATGGAGAAAAAGACGGGTCAAGATAGGGTACATAACCATGGGTTATGCATCCATCAATAACTAAATCTGGACCCTTTATTTAGAAAATTCAGACCTAAGTAAGGAGCATTAAAGACCATTTTTATTTTTTCTAGCTTTCTTAATTGACTCATATTTTTTTCGTTTTAACTTGGATTTTAATTTTTTTTGCACAGATGGAACGAGTTCATCGTGCTCTACAAAATGAGATCAATTTTCAATATTTTTTTAGAAAACAAAATTCTGGCCTCTCGGTACCAACTGCATACCATATGGTATCTTCTTCGTTTTTAATTCATTTTTGAAAAAGTTTGCACAGAAGGGACGAGTTCATCATGATCTATTGGATCTACAAATTTCTGGGTGAACAAATTACAGGACCAAAAAATACCACACAATACCATACAATACCCCCTGGTACGGGGTGGTATTTTATGGTATCTTCTTCGTTTTTAATTCGTTTTTTAAAACGTTTGCACAGAAGGGACGAGTTCATCATGATCTATTGGATCTACAAATTTCTGGGTGAACAAATTACAGAACCAAAAAATACCATACAATACCACCCTAGTACGAGGTGGTATTGTGTGGTATACAATGTTAAAAGTCATAAATGACAATTAATATACTTATACTCTCATGTATTCAATCATCCTACAGTCTTGGTTTGTTCATACCACCATGGTACGTTTTTCAAACCATAGGTATGCTTTTATTTCAATATCAGTCAATATCATATGGTATAGACTGGTAAAAAATGGCTCAATTTTTTTGTTCGAAAAATATATTAAAGTGGATATCATTTTGAAGAGCACAATTAATTTGATCTAACCGTGCGAAAAAAATTAAATTTCGACTTAAAATGAGTGAGAAATCGTTCGTCAAAGATTAAAGAGGGGAAAATTAAAGGCTTTCCAGGAGATAGAGGATGCTGATGTGGACGGGTTACTCATGGTTACTCACCATAAGATTATTGACCTGATCCATTCCCAAAAAAGACCTTACCTCTATATCGTACATTCTAATTTCGTTAAAGAAAATATGTACAAATTATTCATCAAACAATAAATATGTAAAAAGATTATGGTGATGGTTGACTTAAAGCAAATATTTAACCATAACACAGAGTAATAGTCTTTAAATGGTTCGAACTGTTTTGACTTGCATAATTCAAAAGTAACAATGATCCATACTGACCTCATCATTCATTCATACTGATTCTTATCACAATGCATCAAAACCCTTATACCACATCCACCCCACTTACTACTTAAGGCTTTAAACCAATTGCATTTCATCCGACTTGTTCATCACTCTCCAGACTCACAATAACTCTGTACACCAACACCAGGAACAATCGGTCCAACTCGACCGACCACTCGATTCAACATGCGACTTGAAACTTAAACTCGACCTAATCGACCCGAAATAAATTAATTCGACCCGTGGATTCATAATGGTGACTCTTAATTACCCTCCCTTCCAAATTACCCCAATTGATCATTAAGCTTATATACCTTAAATTCCTCCTTTCCCTTTTCTCCTCCCTCTCCCATACAACACTTACCTCTTCCTCTCCTCTCTCTCCCACCCATCCTTAAACTACAACCCCATTTCCAACAACGCCTTCTCCATAACACAACACCCAAAAAGAAGCCAAAAAAAGGACCCCAAAGAGAAGGGGGGAAAAAAAGAGGTTAACAATGGGGAAGGTCATCAACTGCACCTCTCCTCCTCCTCCTCCTTCTTCTTCTTCTTCTTCTTCTTCATACTTGATCCCAAACCTTTGCTCAGCTTTCCTCCTCCTCATCTTTCTTCTCTACCTCTCCACCTTAACCTCACCAATAATCAACTCCGTAATCCCATTTCCTTCCTCCAACCAAACTCTCACCAACAATAACCATACTACCTCACAACAACACCCTCTTCAGCGTCGCTTCTCCTCTCTTCCGGCCGACGGAACAAACCCCGGCGACGTTTCAGTCCCCCGGGCCAAGGTGAGCAATGTGCATATATATGTGTTTTCAATATTGATTAATTAGTGTTTGACTTACGGTAATATATAGTGCATGATGAAATTGTCTTGTGATTAGACGACGAAGAAGAAGAAGAGGATTAGTAATGGGTTGGAAAGGATCGAAGCCGGATTAGCGGCGGCTAGGGAGGCGATTAAGGAAGCGATTAGGAGCAAGAACTACACGTCGGATAGAGACGAGGCGTTCGTTCCGAGAGGCAGCATTTACAGAAACGCCTATGGGTTTCACCAGTTAAGTTCTTTTTTTTTTTCTAATTACTCTGATTAGTCCATAATAATCAATGCGAAACGTCTCTAAATATCGTATTCAGTGTTTCCACGTTGTTTTATTTTGGGGAAAGAATGAAATGGAAATAAGTAAACTTGACTGATGACTCGTTGTCTAATTTGGAAAACTCGTTCTCGGATAATTAGGACATACGCATTGAATTTCTTTTTTCTTTTTTTGGTCAAAATCGCATTTTTTTTTCTTCTTCTTTCTGTCATAGGTTTCGGAAGACGCATTTCGAACAAAAAGACAGATCAATACTTAAACCAAATAAAATAACCCTCCTTTACTGAAAAAAAAAAAAAAGCCTCCGTTACTTAAACTGTAAATTAGTGACAATTCTTTTGCTCCATTGGTCATGTTTGTACTCAACATGTGTATAGCATTCATTACGATAAGTAGTACGGTTGAAGTTTTATTCGAAGTGGTTTTGGATTAAGTGTATAGAACTCAAACTTGGTGAAATTTAATTCAATGTACTCATTAAAATGTTGTCGTTTATTATCGATAATGTTAGACAATAAATTGTGTTAGCAATCGTTTACAATGATGAAATTCATAAATCTCATCTTCCTAAGGTGACAATAGAGAGGTGAAGGAATTGTGTGCCAGAGAATTCGAAAAAATTCTATAAATTCAAATTCTCAGATTTTTCATTAAAACGGTAAAGTCTTGTTAGTTTTTCCGCTGAAGCAAAATTTAAACACAATTCCAATGTCCAAATTCTTTCATTCAAAACACAACGTGTGGACTGTGGAGTGGTAAAAATTAACGCGTATCCTTAAGTAGGATTAATGCTTAGCATAGTAAATGCTAATATCCATAAAATCCCAATGTCATTTATAGTACAACTTTTCTAATTACCATACGAACTATTTATATGCATATAGCTAGGAATATGCCCTCCTCCAAAAATGGAGAGGCATGCCTTTTTTTGCTTTCAAACTTACCAACTTTATTACTATGATTAGTGGCAAAGCTACGTACCCTCAACCATGCCTTGATCAATGCTCTGAAAAATCTCAGTGAGATCTCACTAACTTAGAGGTAGTATTGCATTTTGGGAAAGGGGGATTAAACTTTGACTGTCACCTTTACGGTACCTATTATGTCTTTTTTACCTAATGTGGGAATTACAGTTCAGAAACAACATATAAATCAACTTTCTCTGTTGATTTTACAACATGGTGCTAGGGTAAAAGAGGTTATATATTATATAGCAGTTTTGTCTTCAATTCGTTCACTAAATAGCAATAAGTATAAGAAGGAATACAACTTGTCACATAGCAGTTTTCCGACATATGGACAACTTAATACAACTTAGGTGTATCAAATATGGTGTTTAGTTATTGCACCATTTATAAGTACGTTAGAGTTCATAGTTGTTCGATCGGGGTTGGGAGTTCCGCGATCATTGAATGAATGCATAGAATTTTATTTACAAATGTCACCGCAATCATCCAACGATCGCGGAGCGCCCAACGCGTGATTGGATGACTGCATGTGGTGTAAGGTCCTCCTTATAAATGGTATAGTAATCACTATAGCCAAATAATATATTTGGATGCCCCTCGCTTTCTTAACAATCGAGCTATATCGAGTTTCCATTGGACTCTATCTACCCAATTCAATTTTTTGCTGATTTCATCCATCCAAACGCCGCACATATATACATGGATGTCACTTGTAGTCGATGACAATATATTTTTTAGAAGTTGGGGAAAAGGTTAAAGTTTCTTCTTCTTTTTTCTCACTTGTTCAACAAAAAGGGTGCACCAGTCCAAAAGACATTCATTCATCAGAACTCTTTGTTGCTTCATTTTCTTCTAACGTGCCCCAAACCTTTTGGTCGGGAATGGGAACGAATTAAAACCCTAACCTCTTTCCCTTTCTTTTCCCCCTTTCCCTTTTCCACAGGAGCCACATCGAGATGGTGAAGCGATTCAAGATCTGGACCTACAAGGAAGGCGAAAGGCCCCTGGTCCACGCCGGGCCCATGAAGAACATCTACTCCATCGAGGGCCAGTTCATCGACGAGATCGAGACACCACAAAGCCCATTCGCGGCCCAAACCCCCGACCAGGCCCACGCATTCTTCCTCCCCGTCAGCATCGCCCAAATCATCACCTACATCTACAAACCTTTCACCACCTACGACCGCGACAGGCTGGTCCGGATCTTTCGGGACTATGTCCACGTGGCGGTGGCGAAGCACCCTTACTGGAACCGGAGCTCCGGCGCCGACCATTTTATGTTGTCGTGTCACGATTGGGCGCCGGAGCTGCCGCGGTACGACCCGGAGCTGTACGAGAACATGATACGGGTGCTGTGCAATGCCAACAGGTCCGAAGGGTTTCATCCGGTTAGGGATGTGACGATGCCGGAGCTCAACACTCCGCCGGACAGGCTCACGCCGGAGGTTCGGGACTGTTCGTCGCCGGGGAGACGGAAGACGCTCGCCTTCTTCGCCGGCGGGTCGCATGGGTACATTCGTAAGGTAACATCTCTTGTGCTAAGGGTTACCCCTGGTTTATATTGAGTGTCGGAATAAGAATTCGAAACCATGATATGTGAGTAGAGATCGCAATTGATCGGATTGGATCGAGTTTCTTTAGATCAAAACCAACCTACGGGAAAAAAAATCCTCATAAAATATCAATTAGATTTTAGTAGTGAAAATCCAACCAATCCAACTGATACCTACGATTGTATAGGTACCCATGAGTTCATGAACATAACCTTACATTCGTAATGTTTTTCAATATTTTTCTAAAAATGTATCTTCACAAAGACTAATAGTATCAATAAGTTATCCATATTATTAAGTTTATATCATTATAAAAACTAATAACATTCGTATTCATATAGTTCTAGTTAGATACAAAATAATATTGTTTTGGTTTATGATTATGGGTCGGGTGGAAAGTGGAAAGTCCAACTCAACCCGTGAATTTCATTCCTTACTCGTGAGTTCGGGTTGGATACTCGTGGGTTCCTGTGTGGTTGGTTGGGGTTCCAGCGATTTCATCCCTACTCGTGAGTTCGAGCTGGATACTTGTGGGATGAGGTCCAATTGCATCCCTACTTATTGGTCGAAAGCTCTGATATCATTTAACGAACAAACCATTCCGTACCAATAACTCAAATTGTTGAGAAAAGATTTGTATGAGCTATATTTTATTTCTTTTTTTATTTTACAGGTGCTGCTCGACCACTGGAAGGACAGGAACGACGCGGATATTAGGGTTCATGAGTACTTGAACAAGGGACAAGAGGACTACATGAAGCTGATGGGACAGAGTAAGTTCTGCCTGTGCCCTAGCGGGTACGAGGTGGCGAGCCCGAGGCTGGTGGAGGCCATGTTCGCCGGCTGCGTTCCGGTGATCCTCTCGGTGAACTACAGCCTGCCGTTCCATGAGGTTTTGGATTGGACAAAGTTCTCGGTCGAGATTCCGGTGGAGAAGATCCCCGAGATCAAGACCATATTGGGGAATGTCTCGGAGGAGAGGTACTTGGAGTTGCAGAGGAATGTGGTGGAGGTGAGGCGGCATTTCGAGCTGAACCGGCCGGCAAAGCCGTTTGATGTGTTGCACATGGTTCTTCACTCTATTTGGCTTAGGAGACTTAATGTTAGGCTTTCTAGTCAGTGATTGACACTTTGACATGTGACTTGGACAAGTTTTGGGTCACTCTTACACACACATAGATATAGGAGGAAACACATTTGATTATAGCGAAGTTCAGGTTTTGTGATTGTAAACTTAATTACTTTTTGCATTACCTAGAACTATTTAGAGATACAATTTCATTGTTGAAAGTATGAAGACGAGCAACTTCAAGATGATTTTGTGTGTGTTTTGGAGGAGAGATACTTGAATTCCTATCATATATTTTCTGCGGTTTCTCTTGGTAAGTGAAGGCACGAGGACGAGAAAGAGTAGTCTTGACACACTTGATAAACGACTGCTGATCCATAATAATCTATATCTCAATTTACTTGAGGTAAAAAAAAATTCACCTCAACTTGCACTCTCTCGAATTTTTCCTCTATTTGCCAAATTAAGTGGTAAGGCTAGGCTTTCCAGCTCGTGGTTGCACTCGAAAACCTAAGAAAACAATTGATACAAAACCTAAATTAGAGATGCTTTATTCGTATAGGTAAAAAAAAGATATTAAGCTCTATTCAACTGGGCTGACCCGTAAACAGGCGCCCTTGTAAAAGGATGTACATCACTTGAGAATAAATTACACGTTGGTCACTTAATTAATTAAATTTTTTCATATTTGCCACGTGCAAAATTTCCTTTCCTATTGGTCACTAAAACAGTTTTAGTAAATCTTTACGTCTTGTTCCATCGATGGTCACTCGTCGTAGATGCAAAATATGAGTTTTTTGGTGTACTGAGCAGTGGGTAGTGGGTAAGGGTGGGCAACGATTCGGTTTATATCGGACCGAATCGACTCTCACACCGAATCAGATCGAACTGTTTATCTTTCGATTCGACTTTGGTTCCTGAATTTGGAAAATTTTCGGTTTTGGTTTGGTCCAAACTGAAATCGTATAATCATGCTAAGGATCGGATCGGACCGAATCATAATTAAATTATTAATTGCCTATTATATTATGCTCCCAGAAGGCAAGTCGACTTGGAGTTGAAAATCCTAGTTATCTACCCAACACTTAACTACCTATCAATATGATTAACTTTCTCTGACTTAGACTCGTTGCTCCCGCTCCTATAGTCCTACCCTCCAAATCAGAGTTCTCGTCGGCGTTGCTTCGATCAAGAGAGCTGTTTACTTTACCTACACGTTGTGAACCAAGTATGAATATGCTTATATTGCAGAAGAAAGTCTTTCCAATGAATAGTGGAAATTCTGGAGATTGGGCGGTCCAACGTGCACTGGAAATGAAAATGGAAGATCAGAGGGGCAATCAGTTAGACTATCTTTGAGATCCAATAAAAAGACTTTTGTCTTTTAGTTTAAACAATAGTCTTGTTTAGCTTTTGCCATAATTTTTTGGAACATGTGGGTTTTTAAGAATGGTGGAGTATTTAAATTGGGATAATTTGATTACTTCTTTTTGTGTAGTTACATTTTTTAATTCTTGTCCTTTAAGGCTGATTTTATTCAAATGAAAGATTAGTCGGTCCAATGAGATGGTCTAGACCGAATCGAGCCATATATGATTTGATCCAGACCGAATCGAAGTAATAATGATTCGACTTTGGTCCTTGATTTAGAAGAAATTTTGGTCTGTACGAGGATAGTTTGGGCCGGTCTTGGACCGAATCGACCGATGCCCACCTCTAGCAGTGGGTGACTAAATGCGATATTTACCCCTTAGCTTGTACGGCTATTTCCCCGTTAAACAGTGTTTCGCAAGCCAGAGGGCGCACCACGCCATTAATACAGTCTCACCCAGTGGCGGATACATGGTGCTTGGAACACGATTATCCAACCCCCGGTAGTAGTTTCGTATGGATAAAAAAAATATAATTGGTAATCTGGGACACCTCTAAAATTTTAATAAACGATTATATTACCCTCGATAATAGTTTGTGTATGATTAAAAAAAATATAAGTGGTACTCTGTGTTATTTAAATCTAGGACACTCCTATTATTAAACATCTTCTCCATTAGGTTATAACTCATTTGTTGTTCTATTTTAAACACTATGTAATGGTAAAAACGCGATTTCTTATTCCTAGGGGTACCCCTAACTTGAATTGATTTTACGGTTACACTGTAAGTGTTGTAAAAAGTCTTTTCAACTTTTAATTACATCATGAATAAGGTTAGAAATTGAATATGCGATCTAGTAGGATATACCGATTTGTTGAGCAGTATAGACACCAAATCTATTTTATATTTTTTACGAAATATCAAAATACATCGTGGCTTTATGTCAACATTTGTACTAATTGGATATTTTATTATTTATATATTATTTAATTTAATTATTAATTTAATTTAATTTTTTGAAGAAGACACCTCTATAAAAAAAAATTATAGATCGCCACTTATCTCACCCTTCGTTCTCTCTCCTTTTCGGCGAAGAGTAATTAATGGACTGTAATAGAACTAGAACTGCCGCGGAGCAAACAGAGCCGTCGATGAGCCTCCGGTCTCCTCTACCGCACTCATCTTCCATTCCCGCCAGCCCTAACAACACCTGGGCCTACGCCACCCCCTCCTCCAGGCCGCTTGCACAGGTCCAATTTCAGCTGTCTAACATTTCCCGGAGAAAATCTTTGCGATGTAAGAATTGCAGCCTTGATTGTTAGTTTCATTAGTCTCTTCTTGGTCTATCTTTCTATGGTTTAGAAGAATGATTTCGACTTTTTTATAGTTCTAACGTAATCGTTTTTGTGGAATCGCTGGGGAGTGGGACTTGGGTTGTGAGTTTGTGAACGAAAGTTTGCATCTTTTGAGTGGGAGCTCGAGACTAACCATTAATGGAGGGAAAGCTAGGCAATTGTTTTCAATCAAGTGTTTCCGAGAAAGAACTGTGTCTTGATTCATTGGGGATTAGAGTTTAGGAGTTCTAATTCGAAGTTGGTCAAGCATTTATCGAGAACTAGGATGGGTTGCCACAACCATGCAATGGAAGGGATTAGCCCGGCCAATGCAATTGATGCGACGAAATTGTTATTTGTTATTTTGTTGGGCTTTAAGTCATTTATTGATTACTTCAACTTCAACTTGCGTTGAGATTTAACTATCTCTTCCTATTGCTGAATTAAAGATCTTCTGGATGGTGAGCTCATTCATGGAGAGAATTTCAATCTTTTCGCTGCCATGTCTGCTTTAGAGGTACTGCGGCAGTTTCAAATTTTTCGTTGTAGGCATTTGGCAACTCCTCAGAAGAGCACCATGTTTACACTTCAATAAATAAATCCTATACCATTTCGTTGCTAGTCATAATTTGTAAGTCGGTCCAAATGGTCATGGAGTTCTTGCATTATCTAGGCTTAAAGAGCCAGCTATTAACACAAGTGCTGGAGAGTTTCAATTACTTCTTAGCTTGCCTTCACATAAGATAACATTCAAATTTACGATTGGCTTAAGAGTTTGCCTGGGAGGGTGTTCACTTGCTCTCCGCCCCATAGTTTGTTGATTAACGGATCTTCTTGCTAAAGCGTATCTCAATAGCACAAGTTTATCAAACTTTGGTTTGCTTGGTTTTTCTTTTGAGGCTTTTTTTTTTTTTGCAATTTTCTTTCTCTCTTGGAAAACGTGAGATGTGGTGAGGTGTTTAGCTTGCATAATAACACGAACTATCTGCCTTTCCTTTCCTTTCTCTTGATCCTTCCTGTTCTTTACAACTGATGAACATAGTTGTGTTGAGATATGTATTTCGGATGGGCTTTAGCCCATTGTATAGTAGTAGGCCTAGTCTAGGAAGATTCCTACCCTAGCCGAACACTCTTCTACCTCTGCTAGGGTTAGGTTAATATATATACATGTATCATGAACATGATCGGCAGCTAAGTAAATAAGAACATCGATCGCTTCGGCCGTGGACTAGTCTTGATCACACTGATCAAGGAAACCACGTAAATCTGTGTGTTCTCCGTTTCTATTTCGATCATTCTCTGTTTCAATTCTTCTCCGATAAGTTAAGTTAACATGGTATCAGAGCTCACCAGCTTGGATTCTGATCGGATCACTACTCGTTTGAACGCGAAAAATTATTCCCTCTGGGAATTCCAGTTTCGCGTTTTCATCGAAGGGAAAGGGTTCCTTGGCTTCCTCGACGGAACCTCTGCCCGGCCGACGGTTCCCCCTTCCACAGAAGCAAACGTGCTGCGGTGGGTTCAGACCGATGCCCGCGTCCGCTCCTTGATCATGAATTCGGTTGATCCCTCCATTGTTCTGGGTCTCCGTCTTCTTCCGACTGCTGCCGCGATGTGGAGCTCGCTTGCCGAGACATATTCTGCAACCAGTGCCAACCGACAATTCGAACTTGAGGTGGAGCTGGCCAATCTCCACCAGGGCGAGCTTGATGTCGCCTCCTACTATAATGCTGCCCGCCTTCTTTGGACAGAGCAGGACCTGCTCACGTCGTCCATCCTCACCCAGCCTATTCCCGCCGAACTTCAGGCCGAGAAAACTAAGATTCGGCTGCTTCAATTTTTAATAAAACTCCGACCTGAGTTCGAGTCCCTAAGGGCTACCCTTCTGAACCGCGACTCTCTTCGGCTGGAAGGGATTCTCGCTGATCTTATCCGAGAAGAGACTCGAATGCGAACCCAGGCTGCTCTCGACGCCAGGCCTGGCCGTGCCGATGTCCCAGCCTTCAGCGTGGCCGGCGTTGCTCAAAGTGGAAATCTGAAGTCGCGTCATGCCCTGGCTGATAGCTCCCGCTTCGCTGCTGCTGCTGCGCGACCAGGCGGCCTGTCTTCCCCTCCTGCTGGCGATGACGAGCTGCCTCAAGATGCAGCATTCGCTGCTTACCGTTCATCTGCTCCTCCTCGTCCTCTCTCGGAGGTGGAATGCCACCATTGCCACGATAAAGGTCATACGAAGAAGTATTGCCGCAAGCGCAACTTCTGTGTATATTGCAAGAAGAAGGGGCACATTATTTCTGATTGTGAGTTGCTTCAAGAAAGGATGGGTGATGTTGATGGGTCTGGTTCCAGTGCGGGACGTGGAGGTGGCAGGTATGAGAATTCGCGTGGCCGTGCTCGCCCTGCCTATGCTGCGACCCCAGCAGCTGGTTCGGATGGGGTTCTCGTTACCCCTGCTGCTCTTGAGACCATGGTGAATAAAGCTATCTCCTCTGCCTTTGCGAGTCTTCAGGTGACATGTAAATTCTTGAAATGGATCATGGACTCTGCCTGCTTTAATCATATGACTGGTAATCGTTCTGTTGTTAGCAAGGTCAAACCAGTTCATAATCTCTCCTTACAAGTTGCTAATGGCACTAGGCTCATGATCTCTGGTATTGGTTCGGCTAAGGATGATAATATTGTTTTGCCTGATACT